ATTTAATAATGATTGTTAGGTTGGATTATTGTGCATAGAGATTATATATGATATGATACAGATTTGAGGATTATAGTTTAGTTATTCGAGGCTTGCTTGAGTTAAGGTGAGTCTCACGGTTTTTTTCGGTTCTTGCATTGGTTATGGCTCATTTTAGGGGCTATGACATGAAATTCATAACATTTTTAAGTGCTAGTTTAAGATTCTAGGCCTAAAGGTTACGGGTTCAATTTCCACATTTGTCAAAATATTAGTTTCTAAGAATTATCTTAGGAATAATTCTAAGAATTATCTCATAAAAACTATTAGACATGGATAATTAAAAAAAAATGCATTTTAAGAATTATCTAAAAAAAATTATGATACATACCAACATAATAAAGTCACAAAGGCAAATAAACGGAGTCCAAGATCGAAATAAAACTTAGATGTAAGTAAAATCACAAACATAAATAAATAAGTTCTTGAACTTATATTAAATTATTACATGTTAGCCACGGTTTAAGTGGCAAAACAACCTTTTTGTTTGGTATAGTTTCACTAAATTAAGACATTAATATTAAATTATTATCTATCATCCACCATCAAAGTACAAAGACAACCATCTTTTTTGTTTTTCTTATTTCGCAAAAACCTTTCTTTTTGTGTAGTTTTGCTAAATCAAAATAATAATATTAAACCACTATCTATTGTCAAGAATTCAAATGCTAAGACAACTTTTTTTTTCTATTTTATCGAGAGTTTTTTCTATTTTTATTTTGCAATTCAAGTCAACTATCCTTATCTCTTTTCTTCATACACACAGATATATATATAAAAGAGAAAAAAAGACAACTAAAGTAACTGCATAACAATTAATTTTTTTTTTTTTAAAAAATTAATTTTCTTGTGAGTTCATCTCATCATGCGCACCCTGCCAAAACACATTTTTTTTTCTCTCTAACACCAACTAATACGGCATGCCATTGAATTGGAGAAGCGGACTTGAATTAGCGTGCCTAACTGCACTAGCCGGTAGCATCGAAAAAGAAAAAAGGAAAAGGAAAGTCTCCTTTTCTCTATACCCTGAATAATTCCTTGCATCATTAATTTATTTTATGTTTGGATTTTTTTTCCCTTTTTAACAATAAACGTATTTTTGAATTAGTTTCTAGATATTGAATCCAAATCTATCTTTAATCGGATTTAAGCAGACCATTCACAGATTAATATATTCAAAAAAGTATTTAATTTTTTTTTTTTTTGAAAAGAGCATCTAAAATTCTGTCCTAATATTCATATAGATTTTTTTTTTAAATTTATATGCATCTAGTTTGAAATTAAAAAGACAAAAAAAGGAACGTTGGCAAGTTCTGGGAGAGAAAAATCAAATAAAACTAAAATAAATCATCTACGTCTGGATTAATATATTGGAAAAATTATTTGCCTCCAAACCTCTAACAATGGATGCTGAATTTCTTATAATTTTGTGCGAGTTGAATATCTGTAATATTATTTCATGGAAAAAAAGAATAAAAAATTTAGTACGACAATCTTCTCTTCAATCGGTGCATATAACTATGAGTCGTGCTTTTTTTTAAAAAAAAAAATTGAGAAAATATGGAGTCATTCTCTTGTCCTTTTTAAGTATTAAGAGAATCCTCTTGCCTACGGAAAACCTGCATAAATTTATGGTACAGCCTACAGGTCCATCCTTACCAGGCTATGAAGTTTTAAAATTTCCAAAGAAACAAAAGTACGGTAGCGTCATGCGTGGCTGGCGAAAAAACCTATGCGAGTAATTAGTCCACCTACAGCCGAACGAACATTTGATTCTATTAATTGAGAGCAAAAGTTTCAACATAATTATATCTCAAACCTTTTACACTTAAATTTTATACAACCACCCCTTAATTTCTACAAATTCTATAGCATCCCTCCTAAAAAAGTTTGCGAGAATCATGATCCAAAACAAGCATAAAATTAGCAACTAAGTATATCATTTTCTTAGGATGATGACATTTAAATTTTAGCAAATTGATTTAATTGACAACCGTAAGGACCGCTCATACTTTTTCAACCTTCTATTGTGATTATCATAATGTCTAAGATATGCCTTTTCAATGGATTGAATATAAAAAATTAAGATAAACATGCTCGTTTGTCTTTATATAATACCTAATGTTTTATATTTGTCTCTAAATTTCTAACTGCATCTTATCTGTTTTCGAAATTTTTTGAAATGTTTAATCCATCGTTCCGATCAAATTTTCGATCCGATCATAATTTTTTTTGACCGAAAAGCCCTTTACTAAAAAAAATAAAAATAAAAATAAAAACGCTTAAAGTCACATGACTTAAATGGTCTATTTTTGAGGTTTTTATATATTACATTTCAATAAAAATATATTTCGGTAAAAGAAATTATTCAGCTAGAAAATTAACTCGAAAGACATATTAAATATTCTAAACATATCCAAAAATAAGTAGATGTAGTTAAAAATCTAAAGATAAATGAGTCATATTAGATATTATATAAGGATAAACGAGTATATTTACATACAAAATTATACGTCTTCGAAAATTATGATTTTGGTGGGTCTGATTTAATTACAACCCTTAAAAAAATATAAACAATAATTAAGAAGGGACGTGCTTATGATGATGTGTCCATAGATTTGTTGGGCATTTCATCTAGCGAATAGAAAAGTTATTCTCATCATTTCCTTTTGTTTTTAACGTTGATGACATACATGACTCGCAAGTCATTTATTATATATACACCAATTTCAAATTAAAGATGATGAAGTTTTTGATGAAAAATTAAGAAGGTTAAATTCATTTGAATCTTTTAATGATAGTATAAAGAAAAAAATATATTGTTGTTAAGTAAGAATTGAAGTAGAAGGAATTTGAGGAGTTTTTGAGGATTTTATAATATTTATTGTATTAGAAAAATATCTTTTTTATTGGTTTTTTATTTTTGTTAACTTCAATTTGTTTTGTTATTTATCAATATTGATGTATTTCATAAATTTCAATAATGAAATTAAAATTTGTCCAAAATTTTGTCGTTAATATTACTGATGAAATGGACACTGAAGGGATTGAAACCATGACGAGAATTGTGGACTAATTGAAACAAACCAAAACTCTAAGGTCAAATTGAAACACATCATAAATATCAGGGACAAATTAAAATTCACTCTGGAATTTATATACTCCATTCCGCATCGGTGGTAGGTGTAGTGGTTAAATTTTGAATTCATCTTTAACTGCTCCAAACCTAGTTTGATTTTAAAGAAAGTTTGCTTTAATTCCCGGTTTTTTAGATTTAAATCTTACAACTAACATTCAGAATTTATTAAATTTTTTCGAATTCATGAAGCTAATGTGAAATGTGTTTTTAAAGCAGTCTAAAAAATTACTTATCTCAAGAAATGAGCAAACTATAAATTAGTCCCTCCCTTTTTGGTAAATGAATTTATTAGTCCTCCTAGTTTTAAAAACTAATTATCTAGTCATTTTTTAATATTTTTAATTTAATTTATTTTTTTAAGAAATAAGAAATAAAAAATTAGTAAAAATATTGATAGATTGATAAGAAAATAATATATTTTATAAAATAAAAAAATATTAAACTAGTTGTGATGAATATTGGATAAAAGAATTAAATAATTAGTTTGTGAAACCAAAGGGACTAATTAATTCCTTTCTCAAAAAGAGAGGGACTAATTTATAATTTACTTCTCAATAAATATACAAACCGATTCAAGAATATTTTTATGATGAAATACAAAAAAAAATTTCTATGTTCATTCCTTGATTTTTAAAGTTGTGACATCAAAATTTATTTATTTTTTTACATAATATAACTATAATTTAGTCTTCAACTGCTTCAATTCCAATCTGATTTTCAAGAAAGTTTGGTTTATTTCTCGACTTTTATATTTAAATCTTAGAACTAGCATTAATTTATTTTTGAATGCACCAAGCTAATAAGGAATGTGTTTTTAAGTCGTCTGGAAAAAAAAAACATTTGTCTCAATAAATATACAAACTGATTTAATAATAATTTTATCATAGAATAAAAAAAATTATATGCTCATTCCTAGATTTTTAAAGTTTAGATTTTGTGTTAGGCTGTAAAAAGTAAAATTTTTATAGCCTTGCTAAGAATAGGCGAAAAAGAAGTTTTTTAAAGTAAATTAAAAAAAATGTGAATATTGTTTCTATAAACAGGGAACAGCTTTCCGTGACAGGCATGATGATGGATGGAATAATACCAACGAAGACAAGCACTGATGCCCATAAAAAAAAAATACATGTGAAAAATAATGGCACGGGATTTCCCTCTTAGCACTTGCCAAGCTAGCATTTCCTGTTTCCTGAAAGAGACGACGCTAACTGGTAGTCAAAACCAAAGGGGAGCCCCAACATGTAATACAACAAAACAGCTCGGCCAGCATGCCACGTGTCACCCATTAAACGGTGACTTCCTTCTGTGACCCCACCATTTTTTTCCCCTCTCAGTGCATGGGTTTCTCTTGGTCTTAATAAGGGAATAGCTAAGCCACAGAGAGAGACAGACAGAGAGAGAGAGCGGAGGAAATCAAGGTTTTAGCAAGAAGGAGAGGTCAGGATTGCTCCCCAATCTACGAGAGGGTAAACCTAACCTCAACACTTATCCTATCTTTTCTTTTCATTGAAAAGCTACTGATTTCACTAGATTTCCCTTCTCCTTCTTCCCTCACTCTAAGGATATTATTATACCTTGTTAACTCCTTTGCTTCACTCCCTTTTCTCTCCCTCCCTTCTTAGTCTCTTTTCGTTTCATTTAGTTCCTTTTTTGGGTTATCTCTACCGTTACTCGCCATATTTACTTGACAGGAATCATTGTTTTCGTTTCGGAAATTGTGTCCCAATATTTAAATAGATTTTGCTCTCCTTTTTTCCTCCTATTCCATACAGAATCTAGTTTGAAATTTTTTTTTTAAAAAAAAAAGCAAGAAGAGAAAGGAATGGCGCCAAGGTCTGGGAGAGGCAAATCAAATAAAGCTAAAGCAGAAAGGAAAAAGAAAGAGGAGAAAGGTAATTATCTTTATCTTACCTTTTCAGCTTTGATATGTAATTTTTTTTTTAAATATTATGAATTGCTTTCTGGGTTTTGATTTGATTTGCAGCAGTTCCTAGTGTTGTTGACGTCACCGTCATCAATCCATATGAATCACAAGTTGTGCTCAAGGTACGTAGTTAATTAATTAGCAGTTAATTTTCATTAATTTCGCCAATATTTTGAACCTACCAAATTAACTATTTGGACATTTTATGAAGGGCATCTCCACTGACAGGATACTTGATGTGAAGAAGCTATTAGCCGTAAATGTTGAAACATGCCATCTCACGAACTATTCTTTATCTCATGAGGTTGGTACTTTTTCTTTGTTTGATGGGATTCATCCATGTTTATTAATTATATCAATAGATTTAAATTTATTTATTAATTACTAATATTATCATTTACTAAGCATATGTAAAGTATTATTTATCTTGTAGTGGATGTTCATAATTGATAATCTTTAACTTTCTTTTTTAGGTGAAAGGACAAAGATTGAATGACAGAATAGAAATTGCTACCCTCAAGCCCTGTCTGCTCAAAATCATAGAAGGTAGGTGAAGCTCCTTCCCGAAATGAAGCATTAACCAAACAACGCCTGTCTCGTTATTTTTCCAAACACTATTCATTTACATAATCTATTGCTCTTTTCAGGTTTGTTAATTATTTTGCGCAATATATATTTCATACTTTTTTTTATAAATATTATAAAAATTAAAAAAAGAAACAAAAAGAAAAAAAAGTTTTTTGAACACAAAAAAGACAGTTCTTGTTAAAGACTCCCAAGAGAGAGTGGTCACCTAGAAATTGCAGGAAATGCAGGGACATGCATAGAGCGCACTTCACGTGAGTTAGGTCCACCATGAAGGGTGTCCCGACAATTTTTTTTGTCCTAACTTAAGGAAAAACGTTAGTGCTGTGATGATAGCAACGATCCATACCTGTGGTTCTTTCCTCATGACATTATTTCTTTTGCCTTCAAGGATTTTTTCTGCTTTAGATAAGTTCGAGGTTAGCTAAGCCTGATAATTTAGCTTACTTATAGCTGATTTGTCTTTCCTGATTAAAATATATGGGCTAATTTGATTTGAATTTACAATTAATTTAGATCGTTGTATTGATTCCACGAAGCTGTAATTATCAAGTTTGATTGATTGTGACATTAGGAATCAAATTAAATAATAAATTACATAAAAGAAAATCACCCACTTCTCTTAATTAATGTTTGATTTGTTTTATATTAGGTGTGTTTTGGAGTTGTTCAAAAATTAGAAATTTTTATTTCTAACTAACCTGAATAGCATATGTTATTTTTTATTCAGGTTAGTTTATATATATGTTATTCAGGTTCGTTTATATATATATATATTTGTTGCACAATTATGGCAATTGTATAATTTTTTAGTGAACTGTTTTTAAAAATAACATACATGTTTCGAAAATAAATAAAAACAATTCCTTTGCAATTTTCCTAATGCTTTGTAGAAAATGCCTAAAAATTCACTCTTAATGTTTTCAAAGTCACAGAAAACATATTCCTACATCCAAAGCTGTTGAACCATGCATACAGTACAAAGTAGGGAAAATTATATTTTCACCCCTACAGATTCCATAATGTTTCACTTTGTCTCCTGCAGTTTAACTTTTCCCATTGCAACACTTTACAGTATGGCCACTGGCCATTAAATTAATGTCTTAACAAAAGCTCGCATCACTCGTCTCTTCCTCCTAAGTTTCTGCACTTAGTGTCCAATAAAAACACTTAAAAATAAAAATCCAAAGATTCCGTTTGATATCTAATGGTCAGAGAGTCTATTCCCATTTTTGGATTCAGATTCTTCTATGTATTTTTAGGAACATATATTTATATTTTTTAAATATAAATCATTAAATTTAAATTAGATGAAAACGATGTAATGATAAAAATAATAACAATTTAATTTATTAATGTTTTGTTTATCTAATTTAATCTAAATTATTAAATACAAAATCAATGATTAGATTTGAATGTGAGAGAATCTAAATTTGAAATTTTAACCTTTTTTGGTAGAAAGTAGCAATATTAGAAGTTTTTAAGTAAGGACAAAATACAAGTCGTTGAGAACACCGATGCATTTTGCGTTTTCCATGTATTTCACATGTCATAAAACCGTTTTGTTCTCATCTGTGTGTCAAACTTACAATGACGCAGTGAGGTAGCGCGTTCATCGCACGCTTAGAAACAGAGGAGGGCAAGAAAACTCATACAATTTTTAGAAAACTAAAAAATTTAAATTAATTATTCAATATTATTTAACAATGATTTTTAATTCATGATTATCATCGTTTTCATTGAGCTTTCTTCTAAAAAGCAACCGATGGAGGCATGTAGAAATATGTTATTCGTAGAAAACTAAAAAAATTAAATTAATTATTTAATATCAGTTGGAAAATTAGAATTTTTAGGAGGAAGTCTAACGGAGGCGGTTCGTTGTTTTGGCATAATAGTTTGAGGGATCAAAACCAGAAAATCGAAAGATCAGAGGTTAATTTAGCTTTGACCAATAATTCAAGGTTTTTTTTTCCCCTAACAATTAGCCGTTCGAGTCGAATAAATTAAATTTCTGGTAATTATTTAAAATGACAATTTTCTATCCGATGATCGACCCCGTCAAGAACTGAAAGAAAAACTAAAAATGTACCCGACATTGTTAGATAATTTACTAATCTGCCACTATGCTTTGTAACTACAGAGGACTACACAGAGGAGACCCAAGCCATAGCTCACGTACGGAGGCTCCTGGACATCGTAGCCTGCACGACCAGGTTCTCCAGCAAATCCAGACGATCGTTATCGTCACCGTCAACTTCACAGTCCAAACGGACCAATATCTCTAGGTCTCAACAGGCCAGTACTCCGGCAACACCACTGTCCGATGATGCAGCAGCTGAAACGACGTCGGTTTCGGCGGCGATGTCGGAGAGCATGGACATGGTGGCTATCCATCCGACGCCGAAGCTGTCTGAATTCTATGATTTCTTCTCCTTCTCTCACCTCTCGCCCCCTATTCTCGGTGATTCATTAATGGAATTTTTTACTTAATTTTTTAGGTATTTGGTGTTAATTAATTAATTGTTGAACTTTATGAATATTAATGATGTTATAGATTTGAGAAGATGCCGTGAGCTTAAGAATGGAGAAGCAACGACCCGGCAGGGCGATTATTTTGAACTTCAGGTTCGTCATCTTCTGTTTCCTCCTACTTAATTTTAATAGCAGACATCATTTCCATAATTTTCTTGGGGTAAAGTTCATTTTTGCCCTCATTTGATTCATCAATGAACCACTTCTAGCTTAATAATTTTTACGTTCCTAACTTTACCCTTATAGTTTGTGAAAAGTTCCAATATGACCCTGATGATTAAATCTTAATTTTGAAATTTGTTTTTTTAGTTTATTAATTGTTTTTGCAATAATAGGGGAACATGATCGGAGAAATGAGAGATAAGAGAGAAAAAAATATGAAAAAGGGTCACCCTTTTTTTAATTGTTTAGCAGTAAAGAGCAAAATTAAAACTTCTTAAAAACTGTAGTGTTAACCTAAGGAATTTAAAGTTATAGGGGTAGAAGTGTAACATTCATGAATATATAAGGGCGAAATGTAGTTTACCTAATAGAAATTGAACTTTTAATGAGCTTACCGCTTATCTATCCTTTGTCAAGACAACTGAAGCTGCATGATTGACGTTTTCCAGGTTAAGATATGCAATGGAAAGCTTATCAACGTGGTTGCATCAGTAAAAGGGTTTTATACATTGGGAAAGCAATTTTCCCAAAGCCATTCCCTAGTGGATCTTCTTCAAAATCTCAGCCGAGCTTTTGCGAATGTTGGTTTACTGCCTTCTGCTTTGATTTCTTCCAAGTCTCAACCATTCTTTGTTGTTGCATTTGTTTTGAAATCAATTGGCGTGCGCTTTGCCTTTGGTTTGTAATTGATAGATGTGGTGTTGTGGTTACTGCAGGCATATGATTCCCTTATGAAGGCTTTCGTAGAGCATAATAAGGTCAGCTTTTTGTATCCATTTCATACAATATAGATTTCTGCCATAGACACATTAAAATTATGTGGCATCTTATTGTTTACACATCTTTCTTTCCAGTTCGGTAATCTTCCTTCTGGATTTCGTTCGAATACATGGCTTGTTCCTCCATCTGTTGCGGAGTCTCCATCAAACTTCCCATCCCTACCTGTAGAAGATGAGAGCTGGGGAGGCAATGGTGGAGGGCAAGGAAGAAATGGTGAATATGATCTTCGGCCATGGGCCACTGATTTTGCAATATTGGCTAGCCTACCATGCAAGACTGAGGAGGAGAGAGTGGTGCGAGACCGGAAGGCCTTTTTGCTTCATAGCCAATTTGTTGATGTTTCAATTTTTAAAGCAGTTGGAGCGATACAACGAGTAATTGATTCCAATTTTCAAGCAAGAGAAACAGTAAATTGTCACTCAGGCTCTTTCCTGCTTGAAGATCGTGTAGGGGACTTGTCCATTGTTGTAGAACGTGACGCAGCAGATGCAAGCTTGAAGTCTGTGGTCAAAGTCAATGGCAATCAATTATCTGGTATCTCTGCTAAGGAAATTGCTCAAAGGAATTTGCTTAAAGGGGTAACTGCAGATGAGAGTGTAGTTGTTCATGTAAGTATAGTTTTGTTTCCTTCTTCACCCTTAGAAGCACCACTGCTTGCACATTCATTCACGTTGACTTGCATGCAGTAGGACAATCTGCTATTACGAACTTGGATGTGTAAACACAGAAAAGCTACATCTCTGACAATAACAATTTTGGGTTTCATCTTATTTAGGAGAGTGAATTGTCTTCCAGTTCTGATCTCATCGCTTCCATTGAATGGCCTACATTACCCAATTCATCTGTAGTCTGTCCTTGACATCTCCTCTTCCTCTCTTACTCACTTGCACATTTCTATTTGTGCATGTGCAGTAGCAGAAGGACTGTCAGGATCACAACTTCCATCTTTCTATTTTTAAGTTCTACATTAGCACATTTTTTGCAGAGTCCCATGATGCCTGATGGCATCTTGTTTTCTTCCTAAATTGACATCCTCTTTAGTCTTCATCTCCTTGTAGTGCGTCCAAACTGAAACTCAATGATCCTTCTATAGAGTAGCCAATTAATCTTTGTTGCACATGGCTAAATCATCTCAACTATGTAGTCTTTATTCAGAATGGCAGAGGCAAAGTTGTATTTTCGTTTTTGGTTCTATATTTCAAAAGTGCATTAAATAGAGACTGCTGAAACAACAGCATTAATTTTTTGCAGGATACCTCTTCATTGGGCACTGTCATTGTAAGACTTTGTGGATGCATTGCAACAGTGAAAGTTGTTGGCGATGTGAAGAAGATAAGGTTTGATGCTCAAGATATTGAAATTGATGATCTACCTGATGGAGGAGCTAATGCTCTTAATATCAACAGGTTTGAACTACTAGCTAGATCTCTAGTTAACCTACTGTCTGTGTCTGGAAGATTGAGTCCTGTTGAATGCACATAGGATACACATGCTAATGCTAGGAAATTATGTGGATAAGACTGTAGTCTGGTGGCATAGGTCTTAGCTCTCATGTGTTATGAGTCTCTTGCTTGAGTTGATTGTATTCAGAGTCAAAATGTATAGTGTTTTTTCTGTCTATTATCAGCAAAATGATATGTTTAAGATCCCTGTTGAAAGGTCAGCAGACTAGAGTTTTGATGTCTGCTGCGCAGGATCCTATGTAGTATAATGTTAGGGATGTGATTGGTGACCTTGTGAACCAAGGGCTAGATTATATTGGACAGCTGCATGCCCAGATTGCATTCTAGTTCTAATTTGATGACTGAACCAAAGAAATAAAAGCATAAGGCATACTAGAAACATCTCTTAAGAGCATGTTTTAAACTCCTGCGTGAGGAATGAGAAAAAACATTACATTACAAAAGCGAGTGAACTTTTCTTCCTTTAATGTGTGAAGGTATGCCATGATGTATTCGTGTCTATTGTTCTAGCACATGGGACTAAATCCCATAAACTGCAAGGACATTCAAGAAAGAAACAAATGTCTATTATATGTGTCCTTCACTTGTCGAAAAATTGATTTAGTGTTCTAGCCTTTGGTTACAAAAATAAGTAGTAAAATCACATATTTCCAAAGACAACGAAAGTTAGCATTAAAAGCAAAGGTAAATTATGCTATTAGTTTATTGCCGGAGTCAATTCTACTTGTACTAAAATCTAAAATTAATTTAGTGTATATTGAGACTACAAGATATTTTTAAAGCAAGTACTCTTGATTCATGTATCTATTGTCATCATTTACTATGGACTTAAAGGATAAACTATCCAAACCTTATCGCAGTTTAAGGGTGCTGCTGCACAATTATCGCAGTGCTGAATCATCTCGAGGACAGTCTTCTCGCTCTACTTTGGAAGATTTAGAAGAATCTAGATGTCTTGTTCGGAAAGTAATTAAAGAGAATTTAGCCAAGCTAGAGGAGAAGCCAATTGCTGCAGAAAGGTCCATTAGATGGGAACTCGGCTCATGTTGGTTGCAACATCTGCAAAAGCAGGAAGCTTCAAAAGATACCAATGATAAAAGCTCTGAGGGTAATAATGAGATTGAACATTCTGTGAAAGGTCTTGGAAAGGAATTCAAATTTTTGAAGAAGAGAGAGAAGCTTCCTACTGTGACTAGCACACATGACAGAGAAGAAAGTGAAACTGGACTGAGCAGCCAAACTGTGGGAATTAATTCAGTACAGCATAGCAATGATGAGTGCAATATTGGGAGTGAGTTGAGGAGATTGGTTTCTAAAGAAGCTTTCTTGCGTCTGAAAGAATCTGGAACTGGCCTTCATTTAAAGGTTGACTTGTTTAGTCATTTTCATTGCTGTTGCTGATTTTGTCTTTGTTGGAAGACCAAAGTTTTCATTATTGTCATTTTTGGGTCTAATTGTGTCTTCTTGCAACAGTCAGCTAATGAGCTTCTTCAAACAGCATACAGATATTATGATGAAGTTGCTTTGCCTAAGCTGGTAACATTTCATTTATGCAGTGTCTTACTTTGCTGACGAGAGTTTTAACAATTTATAATACAGATCTTATACTTTATTAGGTAACAGATTTTGGCTCACTTGAACTTTCCCCTGTTGATGGCCGGACGCTGACTGACTTCATGCATCTAAGAGGACTGCAGATGCGCTCTTTGGGACGGGTGGTGAGCAATCTGTGTTTGTGTTTGTCATCTTATCTTTCCCTATCTTATGCCAACCGTCTGACTCAGTCTCCTCCAGAATATAAATTTTCTTCTGGAAAGTTTACTGCTTGATGACATTATTATAATCAGTCCTCTTGCAATACTTTGAATATATCTATGTAGTTGCAAACTTTTTGGCAAAAGCCAGAGTAATGTCCTTGAAAAATTATTGACTGTCTTATGCTCAACTACGTGTGTTGATTTTGTTGGTTCAATTTTTTTTCGCAATCAGGTTGAACTTGCAGATAAGCTTCCTCACATACAATCACTTTGTGTTCATGAGATGGTTACTAGAGCTTTCAAGCACATACTTAAAGTGGTTATTGCATCTATCAACAATAAATCAGACTTGTCTGCAGCCATAGCTTCATCCCTAAATTTCTTGCTTGGAAGTGGTGGGGGTGAAGGTAATGATCAATCTATGAAGGATGACCATGTTCTCAAATTGCGGTGGTTGCAAACGTTTGTTGCCCAAAGATTTGGTTGGACACTGAAAGATGAATTTCAGCATTTGAGAAAGCTTTCAATTCTTCGTGGACTCTGCCATAAGGTACCATTTGTTTTTAGTACTGTTGGCTACTGCATATGTCCAAAGCCTGATTCTTGCAATAAATTCCATACCAGGTTGGGTTGGAGTTGGTTCCAAGAGATTATGACATGGAGTGCTCAAACCCCTTTAGGAAATGTGATATTATTAGTGTGGTTCCCGTGTGTAAGGTTTGAATTTGTGTCCCATAAATCTCTTCAAAATTCTTTGGGCACATAAGAATTTCAACCTTAATTCGATATTTGCACTATGCTTCGCAGCATGTAGGATGCTCTTCAGCAGATGGACGAACTCTATTGGAGTCATCGAAGGTTGCTCTTGATAAAGGAAAGTTAGACGATGCTGTTAATTATGGAACAAAGGTATTATCCCATTGAATCTGTATTTTAATGATATATGAATTCCTTTATTCAATAAGACATCATTTAGTCTCACAATATATACTGCTTCCATTAAAGGCATTAGCAAAGATGATAGCTGTATGCGGTCCTTATCATCGGACTACTGCCAGTGCTTACAGTCTTCTAGCTGTTGTTCTCTACCACACAGGAGACTTTAATCAGGTAACAAATCTTCTCTGTTATGCATTTCCTTTAGGTTTAGTAATTCTGATATGTTTCCCTTACAAAAAGGTACCTGTAACTATAATTAAGTAGCTACTGAAAAAAATTAACAGAATGATGCTTCTAATTGGTTGAACTGCACATGAAAGATAATTCTCAACTTCTATAGACTACAGAATGGTTATTTTAAAAGGTGGGAAGTTGAACTCAGAAGTGGCAGGAGTTTTGCTAGATTTTTACAAACATGTTTGGTACTTATTTTGAAGCAGTCATGCGATTCAGTAGAAAGGTCAAATGTTTTCATTTCTGTGAAATTATTATGAGCTTTAACCACATTTAAAATTGCAGTTCCTCTAGACAGTTTTTTGGCATCTGTATCTATCTAATTGAAATATTATATCTCTAAAGAAAGCTAGTTTTTTTGTTGCTTTTATTTGTTAGGCTACCATATACCAGCAAAAGGCTTTGGATATCAATGAGAGGGAACTTGGTCTTGACCATCCAGATACAATGAAAAGTTATGGCGATCTCTCTGTGTTTTATTATCGTCTTCAACACATTGAGTTAGCTTTGAAGTAAGTTCAAAGTGATTAACTTATGAGCTCATTTTGACTTGCCCATTGCCTTTGTGCCTTTCGTTATTAACGTAAACAATCCACAATTAATGATATCATAAAAACTTGAGATTTGCCAAATCTAAATTTACTATGGAATTGTCTGTTCAGATGTTTTTTTTTTCAAATTAACTGTTTACCATGAAAACAGAGTCTCTGTGAATGCAAAATAATAATCAAAATCTGCCCCCTCATCTGTGTGAATTGTGATCATAACATATTCTTTGAGTGGTGTGCAAAATGTGTTGTTCTGTTGTTGCACTTCATTGGTGTCCCTGATTGAACTGGATAAATTTTGACAGATATGTGAACCGTGCTTTGTTCCTTCTTCACTTTGCTTGTGGTCTGTCTCACCCCAATACCGCCGCTACATACATCAATGTGGCTATGATGGAAGAGGGTATGGGAAATGTTCATGTTGCTCTCAGATACCTGCATGAAGCTCTAAAGTGCAATCAAAGATTGTTAGGGGCAGATCATATACAGGTTCTTTTCACTCACCAAATTACTAGATGCATGCTAGTTTTCCCAAGAGCTGGACATTTTTATTTTCACTTATCTAAAACTTATTAAAAGGATAAGAATGGATAAACACTTCTGTTTACCTTCCTTTTCTTGGCCTGACAGACAGCTGCAAGTTACCATGCTATAGCCATTGCTCTTTCTCTTATGGAGGCATACTCCTTAAGTGTTCAACATGAGCAAACGACACTGAAGATACTCCAGGCAAAACTTGGAACAGAGGATCTTCGTACTCAGGTAATGGAAAATAGGTAGTCACGATCTTAGTTACACGAATTTTCTTATTGTCATGAAGTAAATAAATAAGTCAAAAGATCTTTGTTATATGGACTTGTTTTCCAGTGGTCAGTGGGTATGCCTCAAAGTGCTTGAGTCAGCTATATTTTAGGATATTTGCAATTATTTTGGAGTGTTCAGCCCTGGTGCCTGCTGCCATACTCAGATCTCAAGTGTCTAGAATCTGGATAGCTTATAATTGTTGTGTCGGTACCGCTTACTTAGGGTTTTCTGTTGTCAATCTGTGAAACTCGTTCATTAATATCTGCAAGTCTGTAGCTGATTGAGGTGCTGCATTATTTAATGCAGGATGCTGCTGCATGGCTTGAATATTTTGAATCGAAAGCTCTGGAGCAGCAAGAGGCAGCACGAAATGGAACTCCAAAGCCAGATGCATCCATCGCAAGCAAAGGTCACCTTAGGTATTGATATGGTACTCTCCACATTACTTGTTTCGTCATCTGCCTATATATGTTGGGATACCAAAACCTGTGACCCTCTGCTGCAGTGTATCGGATCTTCTGGATTACATAAGTCCTGATCAAGACTCTAGAGGAAGCGATGCACTCAGAAAACAGCGCCGTGCAAAGGTAGTTAATAATGCAAAGTTATTTGATCAGAACTTTTGAACAAACACATTTTCCTAATCTGCATCATTTCAGATAATAAACATGGTTCGTATAGTTTTCTATTATGTAGAAAATATTTTTGAAAAGCGAGATAATCCTGAAAATGTTATATTTCTGCCTTTTCTAAATGAGATAATTGCATTATGAGTACACTAACTTTTAACTTTTTCTCATTCGAGTACATAAATTTTTTTTTTAGTACACTAACTTTTTTCAAAATTGCTAGTTGAGTATTTTTGTCAATTTTTCCATTGATTGATGCAATGTCTATTACCTTTAGAATATCAAATTACTATTTTGCTTTTGTTTTTCTTTAAGTACATGAATTTTAATTTTTTCGTCTTTGAGTAAATTAATTTTTTCAAAACTATAAATCAAGTATTTTTATCAATTTTTTTCGTTAATCCATAACGCGTTCGAATATATATATATATTTTGTAAGTAACGTTTTTTTTTCAAATTATTCTACATTTTTAAAATTTAACAAAGAATTAAAAAAGAAGAAGTTATTTTTTAGTTATAAAACTATGAAACAAACTAAAGTAAAACATAGTTTTATTATTCATTTTCACAATTTGAAATATTATTTACAAACTCACAAATCATTATTCATATACTCACAAATCATTATTCCTTTCACTATTCATGTCTTTTTTTTAGCACTTTCGTTCTCGATTTGTTCTATATATATATATTTTTTTAATTTCAAACTTTAATTATATTATGATTTGGTCTCTTTTTATTTTAGTGTTTTATTTTAATTATTTTTATTATTTAGAATTTACTAATTTAATTTGTCTTTTTTTAATATAGTCATATGTTATTAATATTACGATCATATTATAATCATATTATTTTTCTACACTAAGTATTTACTGTTTATTTATTTTTTTAATTCAATAATTAAAATAATATTTTAGCTTAACCACTCAATGATTCAAATTAATATAGTTTTTTATTTTAATATTATTCATTCTTTTGTAAATAAATATATAAAAATTAAAATCATATTTTTTCAAAAATCGATATTCTCATGAACATTAAATAAAAATAAATTATTTGTTCAATTCTATGTAAGCTTTTAATAATTGTTATTTATGTTTTTTGACACAATCTTATGAAATACTAAAAATTTTTTTAATTGCTAGTTGAGTATTTTTGTCAGTTTTTCCATTGATTGATGCAATGTCTATTACCTTTAGAATATCAAATTACTATTTTGCTTTTGTTTTTCTTGGAGTACATGAATTTTAATTTTTTCCTCTTTGAGTAAACTAATTTTTTCAAAACTATAAATCAAGTATTTTTATCAATTTTTTTCGTTAATCCATAACGCGTTCGAATATATATATATATATATAAGTAACGTTTTTTTTTCAAATTATTCTACATTTTTAAAATTTAACAAAGAATTAAAAAAAAAGAAGTTATTTTTTAGTTATAAAACTATGAAACAAACTAAAGTAAAACATAGTTTTATTATTCATTTTCATAATTTGAAATATTATTCACAAACTCACAAATCATTATTCCTTTCACTATTCATGTCCTTTTTTTAGCACTTTCGTTCTCGATTTGTTCTATATATATATATTTTTTAATTTCAAACTTTAATTATATTATGATTTGGTCTCTTTTTATTTTAGTGTTTTATTTTAATTATTTTAATTATTTAGAATTTACTAATTTAATTTGCCTTTTTTTTAATATAGTCATATGTTCTTAATATTACGATCATATTATAATCATATTATTTTTCTACACTAAGTATTTACTGTTTATTTATTTTTTTAATTAAATAATTAAAATAATATTTTAGCTTAACCACTCAATGATTCAAATTAATATAGTTTTTTATTTTAATATTATTCATTCTTTTGTAAATAAATATATAAAAATTAAAATCATATTTTTCAAAAATCGATATTCTCATGAACATTAAATAAAAATAAATTATTTGTTCAATTCTATGTAAGCTTTTAATAATTGTTATTTATGTTTTTTGACACAATCTTATGAAATACTAAAACTTTTTTAAAAAAATTATTTAATTTTTTTTAGTTAATAATCCATAGATTAAGAAGGATAAATCCTTTTTCTAAAGGAAAAATTATAAGAAACACAAATAAAAAATAGTTAAATACAAAAATTTTTATTAAAAAATTATAAATAATTTTTTTTTCACCTTTGATTTCATATATTTTTTATAGATTCACACCATAAAACAGAATATCAAACTGAAATAACTTTTCTAAACGATTTTATATATTTTATTTAACCCATAACGTAGCGCGGGCAAAAAAACTAGTCTCTAACTAAACATAGTTAGGCTTGCTATTAAAAAAATAAACTCAGTTAGGTTTTGGGCATGAAAGTTGAAAAAAACACAAATGTGAGGTTTTTCATAAAAAAAGATTTTTCATCAAAAAGATTCATTAATGAAAAATCTCACATTTGTGTTTTCCTTAAATTTTCACTCTTAAACCTAAATGAGTTTTTTTTTAATTATTTATTTAATCATAACCTAATTGAGTTCAGTTTGGAAGTTTATAACAAAAAAATAATATTTTTTTAATTTTTGTCAAATTTTGAAATGGTAAAATAAATTTGGAGAGAGTTCATTTTTTTTTAAAAAAAGAGTAAAATTATAGTTTTGTATTTAAATACATCATCGGTTAACGAAAAAAATCAATGTACTCAAATGAAAAAAAATCGAGGTTTATGTATTCAATTGAGAAAAATGATAAAATTATAATTTGATATTCTGAGGGTAATGAATACGTTATTAGTTAACGAAATAATTGAAAGAAATACTTGATTGATAGTTTTGAAAAAGCTAATGTGATCAAAAAGAAAAAAATAAAAATTCTTATACTTAATTGAAAAAAGTTAAAATTTGGTGTATTTATAGTGAAATTATCCCTTATGAACATAATGTCCCACAGCAAGTTCCTCATGGATTTTTTTGTGAACTCCCAAGTATCATCTACACACTGACAGCCCTCCAGATTTTGATTTTATTTATCTACTACATTACGAGAACACGAGCTCTATCTTCTCATAATTTAAAATCCACAGGTACTCCAGGTTAATGATAAGTCCTGTCAAGCCCATCAAGATGTAATAGGCAATGATGCCATGCCCCACGATGGCTTGGAAAATCCGACGGTTACAACAGATGGCAGCAATCAAGAACTAAATGTGGATATGTTTCATAATGAAGAAGCAGAAGAAAACGATGATATCACCATGTACAAGCCGACAGTTGCTGGGGAGGTTGTTGAAGAAATGACTTCAGATGAAGGATGGTTAGAAGCCAATACAAAAGGACGATCAGGGAATGCTGCTGGCAGGAAATCTGGGCGTAGGCGACCAGCTCTTGCTAAGCTAAACATTAATGGTGCTGAATATTCACATTATAGAGCAAGCAGCTATAGGAAGCAAACCGTTTCACTGGCACAAAAAACAACTCCAAGAACAATTACAATGGAGGCCCCTCTGAAGCAATCAATTGAACTGCAGGCAAAGGCTACTTCCTCCAAACCTTTTTCTGCTCCAGCAAATCTCACTGCTATGGCATCAAAATCGCCATCTTACAAGGAGGTAGCTGTGGCACCCCCTGGTATGGTTTTGAAGCCATCTCTGGAGATAGTAGAAGAATCAAGCGGGCTAAAACCTGAAACTCAGATATGCAGCATTGCGTCTGAGACATTTAAGGAGGAGGGAGGCAACAATATCTCTGTCACTGATAATAAACCAGATCCTGGTGACACAGAAGAAACTCATGAAAGTGGAACTCAAACTGAAAATCCTGGCCCTGAACTTGAGGAAATTTCTTCTTCTAATCAGGAAAAGTCCGCTGAAGCAAATGGAAGCAAGCTTTCAGCTGCAGCTGAGCCATTCAGTCCAGGAGCTTGCCCAACGGTTCACCCTTTAAACTCAGTTTCTGTAACTAACATATATGATGTAGCAGCCAGTCAAGGAATGCTTGTAGATCCAGTGGCACCTCCACTTGCAAGAGTTCCTTGCGGACCTAGATCACCAATGTATTATAGAACTGCTCAATCTTATCGCATGAGACAAGGTTTCCTGAAATATCAAACTCGCATGGCAACACAACCTAGAAGCATGAACCCACATGCACCCGAGTTTGTACCCAGAAGAGCTTGGCAAACACATCCTAAAAATGGAGATTCTGCTGTTACAACTGAGCCGGACTCTTTGCTTGAGACAATCAAGGCGCAAGAGAAAGAGGAGAACTTTGATAAGGAATCTGGTAATGAAGCTGAAAATTATGCTACAAAAAAGACCACCTCTGAGACTGAGAAGGCAGAACTTGCAAGGCAGATATTGCTCAGTTTCATTGTGAAGTCAGTCCAGCATAATATCGATAGTGGAAGCGAGACTGCAGGCAGTAGAAAGGACAGTTCTGAAAATTCTTCGGATGCAATTGCTAATGACAGTGCAATTATAAAAATCCTCTATGGAAATGAAGGAAAGACGAAAGTCGTCACCCAGTCCAGTGATCATGAACAGCCGAAAACACCAGATGTAAATAAAAATAATCATGGCGATGGGGAAGGATTTATAGTAGTAACAAAGCGGAGAAGAAACAGGCAGCAGTTCACAGATGGGGTTACTGGGTTGTACAATCAGCAATCAATCTGTGCATCTGTTCGTTGAAGAGAGAAATAATAGAAAGCAGTTGATAGGAAAAAAGGTGGTGTTCCATTGTCTTGTTTTTTATTGACAAAATCTCTTTGCAATTGCATGCATCACTAACGCTGTAGAAAGGATTAAAAGAACGATGGGGAGGAGAGTTTTTATTTCGAGTCTATTGATTATTGATTATAGTATATCTTCACTTAGTAGGTTTGAATAATCTGTGTATGAATTGCCAAAATTTTCATAGATTTTGTTTGATTAATAAAGGTCACAGATGGCAACTTTATTTATATGATTATGATTTCCTCATCTGTCATCCTTTCTCCTGTTTGTTACAATGATTCAGAACACTGCTAAAATCAACTTTACAAATTCTTAACTGCTTATCCAACAAAGGAAAAAATGAAACAACTTTGCTCAGTCCAAAAGATCCAATCCATCGGACACAAGAAAAGAATGTCGATATAACTTTGATCAGTCCTTGTAGAAGCTGCATTTTTCCTATCCATGGACGGTGGTTAACAATTTAATGATATCTTCATTGAAATGCATTGTGAGAATTGGACCATAGCGATACAGGACTAACGCAAATACAGAGTTGCAGACAACCAGGCTGAACCCAATAAATTTCCAAGATGGCCAGCTGATTTTAGTGTAGAGAACACAAAATACATTAAATGATGACATAGTTATATATAATCAGTGAAAAATTGATCATCTAATAAGTGATCAAAAATTATTCTCCAATATATAAATACAGACATGGTTATTAACAAGAAATTTAGACTGGATAAACCTGTCAGCTAACATGATTAACCATGTAAGAAGATAAAAAAAGATAAGGACAGAGACAGAACTTATGAAGTGCATCAAATGGAAAGATCAGCCAAGTCAAAAGTCCTTTCAACTGCTTTGAACCAAGACTCCACCTTCTTCTTCCTCAGTTCCCCATCTAACTTGGGAAGGAAAGTGGTGTCGGTCTTAGACTTTTCTCCAGAAGCAAAAATCTCTTCTTCTTTCCAAACCCCAACAGCTAAACCAGCAGCATAGGCTGCTCCAAGGGCTGTTGTCTCTATATCAGCTGGCCTCACCACTGGGCTTCCCAGTAAGTCAGCCTGCAAACCGCAATTAAAACAAGATTCAATGCTGGAGCATAATTAGGACATCTAGGAAGGGGAAAAGAAAAGAAAGAGTGGATTGTTAACAATGCTCGTTAATCTACATTTGACTGATTGAATTGGCCTTCTCAATTAATCATGAGTTAAATTTGTTACAGATAAGAACAAACATGATTAATACAATAAGCAGAAGAATGCATCAAACCTGAATCTGTATTAAAAGGTTGTTAACAGTAGCACCGCCATCCACTCTAAGCAAGAAGTCTCCCTTCTCAGAACCCGTATCATCTTTGTGCATTGAATCTAACACATCCTTCACTTGAAAACACATGCTCTCAAGCACAGCTCGAGCAATGTGAGCCTTATTTGTAAACCTTGTGATCCCAATACAAACCCCACGAGCATCATCACGCCACCATGGAGCAAATAATCCATTAAAGGCAGGAACAAAATAAACCCCACCAGTCGAGTCAACCTGTTTTGCCAGATCCTCAATTTCACTTGCAGATTTAATTATTCCAAGACTGTCTCTGAGCCATTGAACTGAAGCCCCAGCAATAGCAATTGAACCTTCTAGTGCATAGTTTGCTGGCGCTTTTGGGCCAAGCTTAAATGCCAAAGTGGTTAGAAGTCCATGCTTTGAATATACCACCTCCTGACCTGTGTTGCGGAGTATAAAAGCACCAGTTCCATAAGTGCTTTTGGCCTCACCTTTTTTACAAGCTTGCCCAAGCATTGCTGCATGTTGGTCACCAAGACATCCGGCAACTGGGATGCCAACAATTGGCCATCCTTTTGCGATTTTTCCAATATTCTCAGCATTACTGACAATTTTTGGTAGAATTCCAGCTGGGATTTTCAGGGTGTTTAATGTGGGTTTATCCCAATCAAGAGTCTTAAGATTCATGAGCATAGTTCGAGATGCATTAGAGACATCAGTCACATGCAAACCACCATTCACTCCGCCAGTTAAATTCCAGATCAACCAAGTATCTATGGTTCCAAACAGAGCATCTCCCTTCTTGATAGCCTCTTTAACAGCATCCACATTTTCCATCAACCAGATTAACTTCATGGCGCTGAAATAAGTGCTTATCGGCAGGCCACATGTCTTAACAAAATGAGTTCTTCCTCCTGATAATTCTTTCTCCAATTTCCTTTAAAAAAAAAAAAAAAAAACAACCTTCAAAATAAGGATTCTTCCAATCAAATAGGATAACTAGCTGCTCACAATAATTGTGGGAAACATAGCTAATGATCAAGGATTGAAAAAAAGTCAAACCTTTTTGAATCAGAAATTTCAAGCAATAAAAATCAATGAATTTCAAATATATCACAACATGGGGTTTCGATCAGAAACAGAACAACGATGAAGCAGCATATGAAAATCTAAAATAATTACAAAAAAAATAAAATAAAGAATTGATCAGAGACAAAAACAAAAAAAAAAAAAAAAAAAAAGAATAAAACATTCTGAAATCAGATCCTCGATCATAAGAAACAAAAAACATAAGTGAAAATGGAAGAAAATAAGAAAAGGGAACCTGCAAACAGATGTGGTGCGAACATCCATCCAAACGATGGCATTATAGAGTGGACGACCAGTGGATTTGCTCCAAAGAAGAGTAGTTTCTCGCTGATTCGTCAAACCAATAGCCTTCAAAGCACCATCTACATTATGCCCATCTGCTGAAGCCTTGTCCACTGCCTTTGCCATGCAAACCTTCACACTCTCCAATATCTCCATTGGATCATGCTCCACCCATCTATCACCACCACCACCATCAAAATCATCAAAACAACAAAAAACAAGACAAAAAAAAAAAAAAAAAAGAAAGGCAAAGGAATTTAGAGTACCCGGCTTGAGGGTAGAACTGGGTGAACTCAACCTGGTGAGATCCAATACAGCGAGTGTTACGGTCATAGATGATGAACCTTGTGCTGCTTGTGCCTTGATCAATAGAGCCAATGTAAGCTTCCTTTGTTTGTGCCATTTCTCGTTGAACAGACAAAGCAAGATAGGTTCAGAGAAGAAAACGAGAGAGAAAATTATCTGTTTTGGAGAAAACAAGGAAGGCACTTGTCCTTGCTTTTATAGGAAACTTTTCTTGGGAATGTTGATTTGGTGGTTTATCCTCCATATTATTAGCACTCGTCCGGTTTTGATTTTCCATCTAATATTTGCCTAGTCAAATCATAAATAATTTTAAAAATCTTCCTTCTTCCTTTTTTTTTTTTTTTTAATGGATTACTCTAAGGATAATCTGCTCTTCTTTTTTTTTTTTTCTAAAAATAAGTTTTTTAGCAAAAACCTTTACTTTTTTTTTTTTTTTGAAAATAATACTAATTAACGTGCGCCTTTAGAATACATGTTGGAAAAACCCTATAAAAATAGGGGTTGAGCTTGATTCAAGATAATGTTATTTAATTTTTAATAAATGGCTAGAATTATTTCATATAATTATTGAATTTGAAAATAGTTAAATTACATGATTTAATGGCATGGTACTTCTGCTAAATGAAAAAAAATCCAAATTTATATAATCTCTTATCACTGCTGTTTTTTTTTTTTTTAACAAAACAACATTGATTGTTTAACTTTTGTTTTTTTATGGATTAAAAAAAATCAAAATCAATCATTTTCCTTGAGATAATCAATGAAAAAAATGACATTTTGAAATGGTTCAAAAAGTTCTTCGATGCTTTCTAAAAAAATTATTTTCATCTTTATCACATGCATTAAATTTTAGGTCTGTACGCCCAAAATGCCTTCTTGTTTTATTTTAGTATATTACTTTTTTCTTTTTCTTTTTTTGTCTCTATCTTGACCCTTATAATAATCCAAGTGAGTGGTGAGAATACATCCTGATTCCGGACTTCTTGGTTTGCTAACTTTTTCTACATGCCACGTGGAATGAAAGGACGACCTTTCTTATTTGACCTTAATTCTCACGGACAGACACGCCACGCTTGTGCATCAGAGCTCACGAGTCAAAAAAAAAGGATCTTCACTGAATTTCCACTCGCACCTACTTGTACTCGCGATGAACGAACTTGAGTTTTCGGAAGCAGCCACGTGTCAGATCGACACCAGCGAGTATTTAGTTTGAATTTTATCTTTTTAGCCTTCTGCCGCCCCCTCTCCTATCCTGCCAGCCTGATTAAATATTCATTATTTCTATTTTATTTTTATACTTGATTATTTTGTCCATTTTGTAACTTTAATATGGTCCCTGTACTCTCTTTTTTATTATTTAAATCCCTCTACTCTTTATTTGGTTCTCTAAAAATCTTTCCATCATAACATCGTACATAATATTTTTATGTTAGAGTATTAAATTGAATCCTCGATTACCCATAGTCTAATAACTCTTTTTTTTTTTAACTTTCTCTTTTGAATTAAAAATTAAATGATTAAAATATGTAAATTAACTATGAAAAAAATCTAAACTAATCTAATCAATTAAAGTAAATTAACTATGAAAAAATCTAAACTAGTCTAATAACTGTTTTTTTATTATTATTTATTTTCTTATTTCTTTCATTATTTAATTTCATAAATAAAAGAGCTATTCTATTAGAAAAGTATCATGTAAGCGTAGAAATCCGCCACGTTATGAAGGATAGAACACAAAAAGTCTTCATAGAAATTTCAAACATAAATTCATAACCATATATAAAATCATGAACTCTTTAAATAGTTTTGATTCACTCTTACAATCTTAATACTATACTAGCATTATGATATATTTCTACGTAAATTCTATCTCATTTTTAATTCAGGAAAAAACACCAACATTGAAGAAATTATTCAAATCTAAACAATAATTACTCTCATTTTTCATTATTTGCACTTTACGTATTCATATAAATATATTTTTTAATAAATTACTCCTTTTTTAAAAAATAATTTAGAAAGATTATAGTAATGATTGTAATTCATCATGATAGAAAAATACACAAAAAAAAATCATAATATTAAAGTTTAAATATTAGCATAAGATATGTAATGATTTATAAAGTTTTTTTTTCAAATTGTTTGCAAGTTTTTTCAGCAATGGATATTTACTAAATAAGTTGATCAAAATCAAACTCTTAACAAAAATTAAATTATTTTAATATTATATTGTAATTTAATATGTAATTAATTTATCATATAGGAGTGATCCCAACATATCATATTTATATTTTGATAGTTTAATCATTTTTATTTTCATCACGTAATTTAAACTAAATTAAAAGCAGAAATAACTTTTTAATGTTTTATTAAAATCACTATCCATGTGCAAGGTAATAAAAATGATTTTTTCTCATATATTTACAATTTAAGAATATATTTCTAATTTATAACTACGAAAATAGATAAATTGGTGAAAAAAATTTAATGATTGTTATTTTTAAGGGATCTAGTTATAAAAAATCACACATGCCTGCAATGAACATTTATATATCCTAACCACTAACTATTTTATGTCTATAGTTTTCAGTTCAATGAAATTAAAATTTATTTATGTGTTTTAAAATTCAAAAAAAAAATTAATTGCAATTGCCAAGTTTTATATCAAATTATTCAGATTTTAAAAACCAAAGATTTTAATTTAATATATGCTAAAAATAATTACTTATAAATAGTCCAAAATAATATATTAGATATTATATATAAATCGAATATAGTTGAATAACATTGTGCGAAACACATGTCAAAAACCTAGTTCTTAAATAAGTAGAATTTCGCAAAAAGGCCATTAAATCCAAGCTCCCTTCTTCTAAGCAATCAAGTTTTGATTGTAAATTACAAAAACAAACCTTAATTTTTAATTTTCATGCTTTAATGGATATGTAAATGAAAAGAGATGAGAGGGTGACGAAAGTTGGGATTTTCTTTAAAAAATCAATTAAATCCTAAAATTCACAAATATACGAAATCATAAATCAACAATTCGAACTCACATATGCCAATATTTCAAACCTATGAAAAAAGGGGGAAAAAAAGATTATTCATAAATGGACAACCCAAACTCATACTTATCGATTTCGAACTTAAACTTTACAAAAAAAAAAAAATTATAAAAGAGAGAGAGAGATTAAATTTCTTTAATCGGTGAAAAGAGATATTGATAAAAAAAATAATAATAAATTGAATACGATTTTCCCTTTCAAGGGCGAGAGGAGGAAACTACTGCGAGAGAATTAAAAAGCAAGAGGGAAAGAAACTGGAACCAAAGATTGGGATAGTTTGTGCATATATGAGATCAAGGATTGTGCTTACCTTGCATATAAATTTCAAGAACTTTACTTATCTTGTATACCAATTGCCGTTGATTTTGCTACTCCATCTCTTCAATCCTTTTTAAACATCCCATGTGGCTTAATGTGGTTGGCTTAAACAAAAAAATACATTTTGTTTTGGATCTTCTAAGTTATCCAAAGTTCAAAGGTTAAAAATAATCCACATAAAGTGAGAATAACTATTTAGAAAGTTTTTTACATACACAAAGACTTAAACTCGAAACCACTTATTTAAGCGATTAGAATCTCTTCCATTCAAACCAATTCTCTTAGATAACAACAAAATATTTTAATAATGTTAATCAAACCGCTCGATCTTCTATATTTATAGATATTAAGGATTTATTAATAGACCTACTTTCTTTATTTTTTAAATAATTATATTAGATTGAAATTGAGAAAAACTTCTATTTTTAGATTAAAGCCAACCAAATTTTTTTTTATATAAATATTATGATGAAAACTTTATTTAAAAAATAAAAATCCGGAATTTAGATTTAAAAATTAAAAATATTATACAAATGAAGGAACAATTGGAACAATTTTTGTTAACAATCTATTAGTAGCTCGACTACCTTGATATATATATATATATATATATATATATATATTAAAAGAATGACGTGTACGATATTAGTTAATTTGTTAGTTAGAGTTAGTTATATAAATCTCTTATTATAAAACCACATAAAATGCGTGTTATACAGGTGATGGATAGTAAATCAATTTCATAACAAAGTTCCTCAACTCCTCTCGCTCTCTCTTTGTTCACTCGCTTCGTTGATTTCTTCTGCTAATCCATAACTTCGCAATTGCTACATTCTTTATTCGTGAGAAGTTAACATGGTATCGAGCTTGCATAAACCGAGGTTCAATCTTGTGTTCTCTTAAAATCAATCTTTGTTCGTTTCTTCATCTCTTCTTGATCGGTTTCCATGGAAGAAGCATCTCAAATTCCTCGATTTCCTACTATTGAAATCATCTCATCTAAGGATGATTCTTGTTCTCCTTACTACATTCATCACTCGGATCACCATGGATCTTTAGTGATTACTCCTTTGTTAACTACGGAGAATTACCCGACGTGGAGTAGGTCATTTGCCCTAGCTCGTCAATTCGTAACAAGTTAGGGTTCGTGGATGGTTCTATTTCTAAACCCAAAGATGAAGATCAGCTATTTTGTTCTTGGAATCGGTGTAATAACTTGATTGTGGCATGGTCGCTTAGATCATTATCGCCTTCAATTGCTGCAACCGTGTTTTATATGAACTCGGCTCAACAAATTTATGGAACTTTGAAGAAAAGGTTTTCACAACCAGATGAATCTCGAATTTGTAATCTTCGGTGGTCACTTTGTTCGATCAATCGGGGGACCGGACCTATGACTACTTATTTCACGGAATTGGATGGCATATGGGAGGAGTTGAGAAGTTTCGAGCCATTGCCACATTGCTCCTATGGAAGTTGTAATAGTGATTGCTTCCGAAGTTTGTTGATATACAAGAGAAAGATTATGTGTTTAAGTTTTTGAATGGGTTAAATGAGTCATTTGCTTCTTTGAAATCTCGGGTTCTTGTCATAAAGCCCATACCAAGTCTAGACAAGATATATAATTTAGCATTGAAAGAAGAATCACAAAGGAACATGCATGCTCTCACTCAACCTTTGACTGAGCATTCAGCTATGGTTGTGTATGCTCGGGAAC